AAGAACTCATGATACCGAATCGCAGGTGGTTGCTCCGCAAACGTCGCGCCGTTATTCGAGGAACGTTCGGCACGGTCTCGTTTCGTATAAATGTACTCCTCTCGCATTCGTTCTCACCACGACGACGACGAGATACGCGACGCATACTATATATATTCTCTCGTCACCGCCGCCGCAATTCGTCTTACTTTTCTCTCTTTCTCTCTTGCCGCGATCGAGATAAACACCGCGTGCGGCGTGGCGTTTCGTGGCGCCCCCTCGCGCCCGGTAGAACCGCCCCGTGATCTCGCACGCTTTTTAACCACGCGTGTCCAAGTAGCCGATTAAACTCAGACCCGATACCTGTCATCGTCTCGCGAGCGACGACCGAAAATCCTCGCGAACGTCCTTTGCAGCGCGGCCGGTCGCGCGCGCGCCACGACGTAGCGACCTAACCTAAAAAGAGTCATACCGAGAAACCGCGCGTCGGGAAACGGTCTATTCCGCCGCGGTCATCCCGCCGTTGCCGCGCGATCGTCGTGATCACGCGCGCGCGCGCGTGCACGTGACTACACGGAACGCTACTTCCGGGCGGCGTGTATCCGCCGAGATCCGCCGAACGAGGAAACGAGACGAGCCGTGCCGAACGAGCAGAGGTATATCCGTTGCACACGCGTGTGCGAACGACGGTACCTCGGTAAAGCGGAAGGTGCGTTAAAGGACACTCACCCTCGTCCGGATCCTCGAGATCCTCTGTCTGGATGTAGGATATATCTGAAACCCACAAACACCACCGGTTAGCAGAAAATCCCTCGTGTTTTCGACGCAGTCTCGTCCCGTCCACGGGCACTCTCACTCACCCGCCATCTTGTAACAAACTGCGGCGCGCTCTCGCGGTCACGCGCTCAACTTGCTCGACTAGCGTCCGCGATCGATCCTTTCGATACTATCGCGCGCGCGAACTAATGTATCGATAGTGCGGTATGTTTTCAGGATTGGACGGAGTCGCCGAGTCACTACGGTCGCGCGAGAGTTCACTTGAGAATCTTTCGCGTAATCCACCAATGATACGATATTTTGCACTTTCACACAACACTTTATCCGAGAATCTTCTCGGCACTTTTTTCACTTTTAAGAGACGATTAAGAGGCCATATACGCGCACTCGAGCTATAATTTAATTTTCCGATAATATTTTATGTTCGAGACTAGGATTTGCGAGGATTTTGGCGGAATTTTACTTCGCGGCATCGTCGTACATATCCGGCGCCATCGACCCGATATACCCGTTTTTTCGCGTAATAAACGATCGTCCGATAGTTTTCTCGGCACTCCCGACGTATTTTACTCGCGAACGACGTTTATTTTCGGTCAGGTCGACGAGACCATAGAAAGGGAGCGAGCGATCGGACGACTATAATCTTACGACCGCCATATCGCGCCGTATATACGATAATTGTGACCATCTCTACGTTAATCCCGACGAACAATCAACTCTGATTCTCCGACACTCGGTTATATTTCGCGATCAAACCGAAACCGCAATCGACCTGATGCGGATCGCGCGCGATGCATCGTAGACGAAAGCGGAAACACTACTGAACTCAGTTCCGATACCAATTCCGATAGTTCACTGTGGTTCGATTCCGAGGTTCCGCCATTTTACGCGTCATCACGAGGCGCGTCTTTTCAAACGCGTTTTTATTAAACGCGACATAAACGCACATATGTTGAATATAAATTTGTAACATTGATGAAATTAAATATGAACCTGATGTTAAATACAAATGTATGTCAAATATAAAATGCGAATGTCGTATAATAATTTTTATTATTAGTTATTAGCAAATATACTGCAATTTACTATTATAATTGATAATAAAACTGCGTGAGAAGTGTGTTTGTGTGATGGACGCGTTATATTAATATCCTACGCACTAATAATATCATATATATCATATTAATATATTATTGCATTATTTTTATATTTGCATTTTATATTTATGTGTTTTGCAAATATTATGTTTCAAAATTAGCGCGCAAGCTACGTCATGGCCATATTAGATTCACTTGTTCTGAACTCGGAATTCCGGAATCGGACCACAGTGCCTCGGTACACCCAGTAGCGGAACCGGATATTGAGATATTGTGTTATTGCATTATTTGGCGCGCAAAAGTCTAAGGCGGTTGTCGATGTGACAAAGAGTGAATCGCGATTGAGCATTGTGAGACGATTGTAAGTTGTAGAGAATAAATATCGTTTGATAAGTAAAACGTGTAGACTCGGGAATGTCGAGAAAGTATCAGATTGTTGTATTATTCGCAAATACAATGTACGAGTCCATATTCCGTCAATGCACTCGACGGGGTCATAACTGCAAATATCATTAATAAAACATCACCGACGATAAATATCACCTACAAATGAATTTATAATATCCGAAGTACCGAAAAAAGTATCGGGCGATTGTTATATTGTGCGTAAATACTATAAATCCCCGTGGTAATGCAATAATTCCGACAGTTTCATCAAGTGGACTCCGCGCGACCGTACCTGGAAATTTCTTATTAAAGCAAATATTAATAGAATTACGGGGAAATTAAGTTACTAAGACTAAATATTGTCTGTAAATAAAAATGTAATGACTGTATAAAATTCTATAATTGTCGTATTATACTTAAATACAATAAATTTCATTAGTTTAGTACAACAATTCTCTGTCAAGTAAATTCTGAGTAAGCGTTGCTTTAAATATTTTTATTTTTATATAAAAAAATATCAATATATATATATATATATATATATATGTGTGTATATAATTATTTGAGAAATTAGATTACTGAGGGTATAATGGAAATAAGCAAGTAATAGCAACGCTACGAATAATATTAAATAGTATTAAATAATTGATATATACTAATTTAAATAATCAAAATTTATTTAATTCTGAATGAAATATGTAAATTCTGTACAAAAACTAAATATGTATATCTAACTTTAATTCTACAAATTAATACAGAAAATATTGAGTAAAATCTCAATTTTGATCTCAATTTGATAATATCAAATATCTTTTAATTTAATGTTTTAGGAACAGCCACAAGGTGATAAATAATGCAACAGTTATATTATAGCAGTGCAACAGCTGGTGAGTAAATTTATATATTTGTTTATATTCATTCATATTTTAAAAACTATTACTTTTTTATTAGACATAGGACAAATAATGGGAAGAGGTAATTAATAACAAAAATAAGACTTTATAAAAAAATGTTTGAAAAATACATGTATATGATAAAACATTAATTTTTTTATATCATCCCAAGAATATAATATATATGTATGTGAATGTATGTGTTATCTTAATGTAATATATACTATATCAATATTTCACAATTTCTTAAAGATAAATTTACATTGCATTACTATAGTTATGTTCATTTGCGCAACTTATTAAATAAGAATTTAAATAGTTTTGCAAATAATCTGAACTTTTATATATAATTCTAATAGAAGAAATTATTAAATTAGAGAGAGAGAGAGAAAGAGAGAGAATGAATGAATAATCTCTTTCAAATTGAATGATTCAGTCATAAGTTTTAAAGTGAGAATCATCATTAGGCACAGATGATAAAAAAACCGTTATTATTTATTTGACATCATGAAAAATATAAAATAAAAAGAGTAGTAGACTTAATACAAGCCAATATGCAGATCTTGTGTGTATTGCATAGAATATTGTAATAATAATGCACAATTATAATATTTTAATTGTTTGAATTATCTTCAAATCTTATAAAATTTTATATATTTTTAATATATTTTAGAAATGTGTAAAAAAAATATATATATATATATAAAATAATAAAAACTAAAAAATATAAGAAAAAAATAAAAAAAAAACCATGTAACAATTTATTCTACGCATTAAAAACTGCAAATTGGCTCTTATTAAACATATACCGGTAAAATTTTTTTTATATATAACAATATAAAATTATATAATATATAATTATAACATATAGTATATAATTATAACAATATAAAATTATACATATAATTGCAAAATTATATATGAAATATGTCCATATATCATTAGATAAAAGTACTTTTTATATAAATTATATATAAATTTATTAATATATAAATTATATAATATTAATTATATAAATTATATATAATTATATAATAAATATTTTTTATATATATAAATATATATAAATATATTGGTTTCATGTATAATTTGACATGATTATATATAAACCCTTATATTTTATATAAATAAATTTATATAATTATGTATAAAAATGGACATATTTCACATATAATTTTACGATTATATGTATTTTAATAATTATACAATTATTTATATATAATTATATATAAAAAATTTTTTCCTTGATATCTAATTTGAAAATGCCTAGGAGCTTTCTTTCTTTTTTTGTTTTTAAATAAATTAGGAGGACAGATTAAAAAGATCCTGGTCTCTCTGATTTATGCTCTCTGAATTATGCTTCTTATGTATGATTCTCTTTCATTCAATTATTATAGTTTTCTTTCATCTACTTGCTTCCCACTTCATTAATTATTTTCATATAATGTATACTTAATTATATACATCATTTTAATATCTTGATAATAATGTTTAAATCACAAACAATGTTCTTCTATAAATCTATATAGTAGAAAAAGTATGGAGAGAAATATGGAAAAGTGTTTCAAAGAGAATATTTTTTCAGTAAAATATTTGTTTACGCTGTAGTTAGAATTTTTTGTCTTCTAGAACAAAAAATTGTTCAAATCTTTCTTGTAATATATCATCGTGGAATTCTTGCATCTACAATTAATTTGTAATCCATTTTACTAATTAATGCATTGCTTTGTAAGAAAAATATTATGTAACATGTGATGACTGTATACAATATGCAACGCAAACTGTCCAGTATAATTAGTATCTCGAGATGTGAAAATTGCATGATATAAGAGAAGTAATGAAAGAAAACATCATTGATATGATATGATGATCGATGTCATATGTTATCTGAGGCTACTTCTTCAATAGTAGCTCTACACATTGGGCATTCAATTAGCTGTTTTGAACACCTTTGGCAAAATCCTCTGCAAAAAATTAATTATTACATTACATTATCTCTCATAGAAATTAATTCAAATTTAAATATACAATTATATATTACCTATGGTTACATGGCAGTAACCTCACTGATGCCTTTTGATCAAAACATAATGTACAGGAATCTTCCCTAACACTAAGTCTTCGTAATTGGTCTAGGTATATATGTCTGGGAAGTATGATTTTATCTTCTGGTTTCAATGTAGCATAATCATTAAATTTCTGAAATTCTCGATCTGTAGGCGGATATTTAAAAGGTGCATTTCCAAAGTTAAATAGGCATTGTTGGAATGACATGAAACTAGCTGCTGCAAAGAATCCAGATCTAGAAATATCCATTAATATTATCAATAAATACTCTTCTTTGAATCTTTAACAAAAATTGGATAAAATAATTTTAAAGAAAAATAGATACATACCTAACTGTTTTAAAGACTTGAATACATGGTTTAAGTGGTACACCATTGATCGAAAATATTATCTCGAATTTATTTAAATCCAATAAGCAACCCAGAATATCACCAGATTTCCAGCATGGCCTGTCGTGAAATTTTTCACTTCTTGCATTATACCAAATCAGTCTGCGACAGCCATCATAGGCCAAAGAAAACTCATCATCTCCTATACCATATCCCTCCTAATACCGAAAAATAAAAAATAATGTTGTATATTCGCGTACAAAAATGATAAAAATTTTGTTATGTCTAATAATAGAGGCTAAAGTATATATACTATTTTCAACAATTGTGTAAAGAATTAAAAATATTCTGAAAATGTGGATACGAATTATTTACATGATTTAGAAATGTGCTATCCTTCGTGGCCCATCCAATTTGCATTACTCCTGTAGTGATTATCAGTGTTTCATAATACCATATTCCTGAATCTACTTGAAACGTGCATCGTACACTTTCGAATGAATATGCATCACACCGCGCCTGAAATAACAATAGATAATCATTAGATTAAAATGCCTATAATGAAAAAAAAACTAATAAAACATTGAATTGTGCCAGAAGATACAATATAATATTGCAGACTATCTACCTCCAAACCGTTAGGTGATATTTTCAGGTACTCGCTTACATCCTTTGTATTTAACATTACATTAATACCCGTCACATCGACTGAGTCGTGGGAATATTTTCTACCTTCCATTAAGACTAACAAAAATGAATTAAACATTATTGTGGAATTGTACAAATTAATCATAGCACAATCAATTTACAAATCAACAATTAATTTACAAATTAATCACATTTAGAGAAAGAGTTTGATATAATTATACTTACATAAGTTATCTAAACACCACTGTGCACAGAAACCAACTTGACGACGTACATAATGTATTTCTGTGGCCCATTTCTCCAATTCTAGCAATGGATTTTGCTTTTCTGACATAAGGCGTTTCTTAATAGTTACCTTATTTTCACCTGTTAATTTATTGCAAGTATTAATGCACTGATAATTAAAATAAAAAATAGAGACATTTAATTACTTTCTATTTTACTTACTTGTCTGTGCAAATTTCTCTAGAGCTATTAAAGAATATAACATTACATAAGGCTCAACATCCTCTCGCTAGAAAGAAAAGATTATGTTAAAAGTAATTGACATAGGAATAGCATTAGAAATTAAAAAAAATCAATTAAACATAAAATTTAACATACCAAATTTGAAACAAGATAATCTAAAGTTGCATCAGATAATATTGCTATACTACTAGGGCCAGCAAGTTTTTCTGCAATACAACCAAGTACGACACATATATTGCGTTGCTGTGTAGCTGTAATTTGTATTTGTCCAAGTCTTTGAGATAATTGAAACATATGTGATAATCGTAGTACAGAATCCTATATCATATAAAAGAGACGATTATTTTCATTATTGCTGCTTAAATCTCTATTTTTTGTAGTGTAATAAATAAATGCCAACCTTTGAAGGTAAAGGGCAGTCATCTAATAGTAATATTATAACAGAAGGTCCTAATGGATTGTGCATTGGAATAACATTGACCATAGAGCTAACTACTTGTATCCAACCATCTTCCTTATCCGCAATGGCATTCAATTTTAACATTGCTGGCGGTGGCTCATGATCACTGAATACATATAGATAAATTAACATATTAAGATACAAAACAAATATATTTACGTGTATTAAGATATTTTTTACTTACTTATCTACCAGAGTATCAAGACTTCCGAGTGTCTCTAATACAAGTTTATCAATGTTTGCCGATGTGGGAAACTTAAAGGAAGATGATGCCGAATCGCTAGATGAAACCAAATTTATGCTTGGCTCTGGTATTATGGTATTTTGAGTTTGTGCATGATTGTTACTGCCATATGTCTCAAGCTCTGGGGAATCTTTACACAAACAATTGCCCATTCCCACAATTTTCTTGTGATTTACTTTCGCGAGTTATTGCCTATCTTATTTAAGTTACATTTACAGAACAATGATACAAGCGTACTATCAAATCTTGCATTTGATTAGGCTGAAAAGAAACATCTCATATAACAAATACTGTTTTGCAAAAACACAATTCAAGATTAGGATTCACTCACCGAAAGGATGATATCATGACAAGTCATATCCCTTTACCATAGATACATATGATATTCTGTTATAAGCGTACTTTTATCTGCTCCATGCCACCACTATATGACAGTTTCGTGATTAAATGCAAATTAAACGTAAAGTGTTGCACGATTTAAGTCTTATTCATTACAATTTTTTCTTTCAGCTTGCAACTATCTGTGTTTAATCATGCATGCTTCTTTCGTGTTAGTCTATCAACAGAAAATTACGAAAGATTTCAGATAAAAACAAGATACATTTCATGAATCACACAATCTAATGTCCAATTAATTTTATTTGCATGTTAATAAAAAAATGAATTGTGCGGATGCTTTAATATTTTTTTGAGGCAGACATTTGTATATCACTTGTTTAAACGACTACAGAATTCTCGAGTATTTAATCAGAAAATGAGAATAGAATCGAGAGAAATTTCTCGTCTTTGAGGTTATGCGTTTCGAATAATCTATCACAACAGTATAATTTCACCATATAGAATACGAAATGCGGAATGTACATATTTTATATCCTATTCGATATTACTCTGTCAGTCTCGCGCTCCACGGTAGTAAGTACTTTCTGCTCATACTTCAATAAGGGTTACACGAATGGCTCCCCTAATCTCGACGTGACACGTTATCGAATTGTTCTCTGGACAATCTCGTGCAGATTGTGCCGTATCGCATTTTGTATTCGGTGCGAGACGCACGCGTACACGAAAGCGTGATATTTCGATATAAACCTTTCATTTTCCCGTCATTACCGTTAATAAAATAGTCGATTTGCGTGCGAGTCCTGTGGAATTGCTCTGGAGAAAAAAACTCATCGATTCTTCTCGTTTTTTATTCATTTAGAATAGACGAAAAAATCGTCCCTAACATTATCGGACACGTGTATAATATATTTTGACATATACGATTGACATTTGCAAAAATCGTCTGCTTCGCGAATTACAGATAAATTATTCCTCGCGAAATTTTTTATTATGTCCTGATTTCGTTGTTTACATTCGTGATATAACAGTTGTAACAAACATTTCTCCGTGAGCTTGTATGACGTTTACATGTGACGTGAATAATGTACATATATATATATGTAGTGATTTTTTATATATGCGATATACGCTATCGCAAAATGTTTCGATTTTGTTAAATATATGCATGACGTATGTGTGCGGTATGTATCTGCACATGTTACGGTATATGAACATGCTTGACATTTAGCGTCCACGTTGAAATATTCATCTGTCGCGTGCGTCCCTCGACGTACTTTTATTTCTAAAGTTCGCGCGGAGTCGCGCGGTTATCACAAGTTCGATTATCGAAGTCGCGCCAAGTTGTACTCGCGGTTTCGTCTGTCAACACACGCGAAACGGAGCGAAAGACGTTTCGCTTTTGAATCTCGCTCGCTCGCGATAATTAACCGGGAGTGAAAAATCGCCGGTGGTGCGAAGGAATCGGCGATTCGTCCTCGTCCCGAGACGTTCACCGGAATATCCTCTTTCCAGAATTTCGGGCAGCGTAATGTCATCACATGGGGCAGAAGACGGCTAGACGGAGGTTGTCAACGATCAATAGTATCAGGAAAATGACTTGGTGACTCATTACACGTCGAGGATTTTACGCGGAATCATGGTGTCCGGGGAGAACGAGAGACTGCTGCCCGAGCCCGAGAACTACGCCAAGTGTTTTTACGATCTCTTCAAGAACGTCGCCGAGGCGCAAAGGTACGAATCCTCGAATGCGTGACGTATAACCTCTTTTACGATTTGTTTACTTGACGCGATCAGCGGCGACTTTGACTGCCAATCGGCTTCCCGGTTGTCAAATCACCGGTTCATAATTTAGAATTAAATAATTCTGTTCCAGAATGAATACTATTTTTTATTGACACGGCGGCATCAATTAAACACGTCACAGACGCATTTTATCGATTTAAAACGTAACCTCAAATTTATTGTTTATTAAGGATTCTTTTTTTATTTTCTTTATTTATTCTTTATTTGATGAGTTTCATTATGTTTTATTATCATGATTATGAATCCTCCTGTTGTTATTTGCTCATATTAAAATTTTTAGTCATATGTACAATATTAATATTTTTGGTCATGTATAGAAAGTTTTATTCAAGTGATTCTAAAGAATAAAAAGATATCTTTATATGTAGTATATATGTAAAATTATTATTATTTTATAATAAAAGACGAATAATTTTATCATAATTATAATAAAATTTTGTGTATATTATTGCTATACATATAATTCAAATATATTTTGATATTTGTGTTTTGAAGGTATAAATAAATTTAAATAAAGAGATTAAATTAATAATAATATTATATTTTAGGAATAAGGGAGAATGGAGAAAATGTAAAAAAAATAAAGCTATTCGTAAACGGGACAAGAAAAAGGTATTAGCAATTATAATAATATATTTTATCTATTATAATATAGCCTAAAATAGATTTTGACATTCTTTATATGTGTGTGTTTCTAGATTGATTTAAATGGAGAATTAAATTATAATAATCCACCAAAGATAGAAACATCTTGCAATGCCTCAGCATTTGCTGTGTTTGCTAGTGTGAGAAGTGGTATTCTAGAGAAACATGCAAAATTGTCAACTGAAGTTTATAGAGCATCAAACTGTAATTCTCCACCACCGGATCTTAGTGATACTATAGATACAGAAAGTGATGATGAAGATAGAATATCAACTATACAAAATTTACCAAAGGTAAAGTTACTTTAAGACTTGTTAAACTTGATTTGTAATATTATAAATAGCATATGTATACCTGTATAATATAAATCTTTTTTCTTACAGATTGTAGGTATCGGTTTAAGGAGTGTTTTTACATTGATGCGTGAGAGTAGAACAATTGATCCAATCTTGTGTACAAAAGCATTATCAGCTTTATTGGATGTTTTACAAGGACAATTACCAGAAGGCCTCAAATCTGAACCAGACGACGTTATTGGTTTGTATCTTTGAATATTAAGATTTTAAAAATTTGATAAATTGATAAATTTTAAATGCTTTTTTAAAATCTGTTTCTAGATCCATTATTTGATTTATTATTGGATCTTGCAACATCTCATGGTCCTGAATCAGCCGCAGCCAATGATGGCAGTCATTTAACAGCTGTTGCTTGCGCATGTTTGTTGAGCCTTGTTGTGGTTAGAGGAGACACTGGACGCTTGTTAGCAGCAATAGCAGCTTTACTTATGTCTCCCAAAGCATTAGCGATACAAAATATTCAGGTATCTTTTACATATGTCATTGTAACATTATTTTGCCATATAATTCAATGCAGTATACTCTAAAGTTTAATTTTGTATTTCAGATGCCATGTGTGCTAACGTCTCTACAGAGAAGTGTTCATGCAGTTTTGTTAGGTAAACTCATGAGACCAGATTGGATTACATATGGAGTTCCTAAGTGTTCCAAGATATATACCTCTACACTTAAGTTACCAAATGAGATGAACAATATGGTATTGAATGAACGTAGTTTTGTGAGTGATGGAAAATACTTATATTTGCATACGTCTCGTGGTTTATTGAAAATTGGAAGTGGCCATGGTGGTACAATATGGGGGCATATATACATACATAAAGCAGATTTTTATCCGACGGAAATAGGATGGCTTGGTTATGCTAATGTTAGTTATGCAATAAAGTGTTTACAACTGTACAATAATAAATATATTAATGTATAATATTACTTATACAAAATTCTATTTACAGAATTCGTTATATTTCAAATGCGCACCGAGGAAGCAGAGTGAGTTATTAATTATTGATGCAGAAACGCTTATAGTAACAGGAATTGCAGTGCTGGAAGGAAAAGATTGGTCATCTTCTGTTATGTTTTCTGATGGTGAAAATTTAGGAATGATAACAGCAGGGAAAGATGTAATTGTTGCAATTTTATATATATATATTATATTATTATATTATTGTTTGATATATTTATATAATTAATTCATTTTTATCTTTTTTTAACAGGAAGGCTTTGTGGTGCGCACAATAAATACATTAAGTAATCCTGTAACGGTAGCTTCTGAATTGCCACTGAAATTGGCAAGGAAATGCGTAGATATATTTGGTTATGCGTCATTTGACGAAGAACAAACGATACATACGTTGAATCCAGGATGTGATGATGAAATTACAATGGTTACAGCAGGAAAGGAATTTGGTTTACTGAAAACAGTATCTGGAAAAGTAAGTATCACGAGAAATTTTTTATAAAAGCTATTGTTCAATGTATTTAAATATTACATGTTTTATATTTTGCTTATACAATATTTTTTTATTTGTTACAGTTATTATATAGCGGAAAAGGAACTTGTCTAGGCATGAAGAGTAATACAAGACCTAATAGATGGTTGGAGCTTACTTTTGGTAAAGGTCCGAGGATTACACATTTTGCAGCAGGTCATGATGGACAGCATGTTGTAATGGTCATGGAGGATGGTTCTGTATTATTTACTGGCACTGCTAGACGTGGAGAAGACGGAGATAGTAGTAAGTTTATTGTATAAAAATAATTTATTTTAAAACAATTTGTTTTAAAATTACTTATTTTATTCTAGATAAAGCTCGTAGGCAACCAAAACCGGTAAAACCAAAGAAAATGGCGAAAGTGGAAGGTCAATTTATTGTTGACGCCGCTTGTAATAACGGGTCAACCGCTTTAGTCACGAAAGACGGTTCTTTATTAATGTTCGGCAAAGATACACTACATAGCGATCCAGTGACGGGATTAGTTACCGATTTAAAAGACGTGTGTATAGTTCGCGTGTCGTTGGGAAAAGCTCATGCCGCGGCATTAACTAATAAAGGACATTTATATACCTTCGGTATAAATAATAAGGGACAGTGTGGTCGCGACTCCGCGACAGTGCATACCGTGAATAAGGAAATGTCAGTGGTTGCGATGGAAATGGGTACAGGAGAGGATGAATTGATAATAGCGGAGGAAGAGAGTGTGGATCCCGTGGAGGATTGGGAAGAAACGAGAGACATGTGTCCACCGGGACAACATCAGTGGAGACATCGCGTTTGTATGGTATGCACGATATGCAGAGAATGTACCGGCTATAGTATATCGTGTTTGAGTAGCATACGCCCCGATCGGAATCCCGGTCAGGAGTGCGGTTGTGGCGAAGGGGACAGCGGATGTGCGGAGTGCGGATGTTGTCGCACGTGTGCGCGAAAGAGTTGCAGCAATGGCATATCGGGTTCTAATTTTCGTGAATACTTGCAGAGACGATTAGGCGAGATAAAGCAGCGGCAAAGGGGTAAAGCAGGACCGAGTACCGTCAAATATGGAGTAAAGCTCAAGGGATCGAATAATCAGCGTATCGCCGGTCCTAGTGTCGTCGCGCAAAAGGGATTTTTGGAAAAAGTCGCATTGGGATTGAGCGGTAATCTCGCGATCGAGGAAGCTGTCGGCAGTAGTGACGTGGAGCGAGGAGACGCGGCGAGAATCGCTAGTATATCACCGGCCAGAGTTCCCATTCCTAGCGAGAGTCCCGTGATTCAAGTGTCCTGCGGTTTACATCACACAGTGTTACTTTTGCAAAACGGAGAAGTGTATACATTCGGTAGTAATATATACGGTCAATTAGGCGTCGGAGATTTGGTGGCGCATGCGGGACCGGTTCAAGTTAAATTGCCGACTATCGCTACGCAGGTAGCTGCTGGGAGCAATCATACCATTATACTCACGTCGAAGGGCGAAATTTATACATTTGGTGCGTATCAAAAGGGACAACTCGGCATGAATTGGTGGAACGATCAGAACGAATCTACGAACGTTAGTTCTCAGGCGAATCGTCGCGTTGATCGATCCCAACCGTGGCACAGTTTTCCAAACGTAGTTCCGAATATCGGTCCTCGATGGGGTAGACGGGCGACGTGGATCGGGGCCGCCGGGGATCAAACTTACGTTAAGATAGATGAAATTAATTCCATTAGCTTGACGAGAAGTACCGTTATGGCGAATAAGAATTGTATTATCTTAATACCTCATCAGAACGAGCACGCGAATTCTTTCAAGAGTCTAGTGATAAGTAAACGCGATGGCACGTGCAACAGTTACAACGGCGCGGATCAGGTCGATTTCAATAATTGTGCGGCGTGTTTAGATCCCTTGTACAACGTTATTTGGACCTTCAATTCGATAAATAACGAGATAAGCTTGTACAATATAATATCGACGGAAACTCGAACGATACCCAGCTTGGAAGCATCCATACTTAATCCAGGCTTGGCGCTTCCGGTTGTTTCGACTTGCTTTATAACGCGTTCTCAAGCGGCGATGCATTTGTTAGCTTGCTTGGATACACTGACACAGGCTCAGGACGAAAATTTATCGATAGTTGAAGAAAGCGAATGTAATCAGTCAACACACGGTAAAGTTTACAGCCGCGAAGATTACGCTACTGTCAGCAGATTTGAAAGTCACGGAGGAGGATGGGGTTATTCCGCTCATTCGATCGAGGCGATTAGATTTATGCCAGATACGGATATAATATTAGGAGGATACGGTTTATTTGGCGGTCGAGGTGAATATACCGCGAAGATAAAGCTCTTTGATATTGGAATTGACGGTGGAGATCAAGAGAACGACGGGGAACTTCTCGCGGAGACGGAAGAGATCCCGTATGAATGCGGCCCAAGACAGAAGTATTCGATCCTATTCGACGAACCGATTTCCTTGCAAGCAAACAGGTGGTACGTGGCATGGGCTAAAGTCGGCGGGCCTTCGAGCGATTGCGGTTCCGGTGGGCAAGGAATGGTCACGGCCGAAGATCAAGTGATGTTTTATTTTAAATCGTCTAAAAGATCTAACAACGGTACTGACGTTAATGCCGGTCAGATTCCACAATTATTATATCACGTTGTCACACCCGAAAATCAAACATCGAACAGACAGAGAGATCAAATTGAACCGGTTTACGTTCTGAAGAGGGAATTCAGTAGGACTGTTACGAAGGAATGTTTCCAATCCTTGATATCTCTTCTTCAATGGAGCTGGAATACGTTGAAGGCGGCACTGGCCGACGCGGCCGTTCATATTGCGTCGTCGACCCACGCGTTGCTCGAGATGGAGCGATTAGTATACATAAGTAAAGCTAGTCTAAGATTGCTCAGAACGTACACCAATGAAATTTATCCTAATCATGTTGTAAAGAAGAGCCCTCCCGAATCTGTGCGTCTAGCGGAATGTATAGGCGAAGTACGGGCATTATTGCGTCAAATCTTGTCCGATTCCTTACCGATTACTCTGAAGAGTAAAGGAAAGACACGATCTAATAAGAATTCAAGTAGTACTTTGGGAAATAAGATGATGAGCAGCATATTGGATGAATGTCATAAAACGTTTGTCGCGTGTTATCACGCGTTTTATCCTACTGCATATCTCAAATGGACATGCTTGTGCGAATTGTTATCGGAGATCGACAAGGAGCAGGGTACAACTACGAAGGATCGTCTCCTCTCCGCCGTGCTGGCATCGTTGTGCAATTCGGCGATACGACTCAGGTGTACATTTCCAATTTTGAGCAACATCATGGACAACAGCGACAGCGTAAAACGGCAGCTCAGTCCATCCGACAATGCCGGTTTGCTTATGATAAATTCCACGGAGACTCATCAATATCCGATATTAGTTGAGCAAATCAGCTACAAGTCGCAAGTAGAAAGCGCTAGCAAGGAAATCTTGAACTGGTCATTTCGCGAAGTACTCGACAGACTACTGGATCTGATACTGATACCGGCCAAGAGAAGCCTTTGCAGGGAAAAGACGCAATCTCTGTCGGAATTGGTTCTTCATTGCTGTTATTTATTGGCGCGAGTCATCGCCGAATTGGCTGCGCAATCCAGCGGAAACGAAGACGAACTGCAAGCGGCTTGCGGTAGGCTTATGTATACTACACCGTCGAGATTCACGAGGACAAATCAAACCAGATCGTGGAATACGGGAAATGGTTCTCCGGATGCTATTTGCTTTCCGTTGACAAACCAGGCATCCTTATAGCTGGTGTGGGTATCTATGGAGGTGCAGGAGTATATGATTACGAATTGGAATTGCTAGATGATGTAAGTCTATAAACATTCTATTATTCTATTTTTATTCGTGTATTGTATTCTTGTCTTTCGAATTCTGCAGTGTATCTATTTTTTTTTTATTTTAGCAAAATAATACTGGTAACGATCCGTCGCATGCTCAACGTTGGAGCAGTTTAGACTTCACAAGAGGCTCCTTTGGGCCAGATGACTGTGTTAATGACACCGTAGAATTAAAATTTGACAAACCGGTTCTTATAAAAGAGAATATCAAATATGCTATTAGATTACGGAATCGTGGAGGACGTACTAGCAATGGTGATGGTGGTTTGAGCGTTGTCAAAGGAGCGGATGGCACAACGTTTACCTTTACGGCTTGTTCCCTGAGCTTCAACGGTGCGTTTATAATCATTGCATATGCTTATATTAGAAAAAAAATATGATATTCAATATACGAATTGTAATACGTAATGCTTTCTGTTATTGCAGGCACAACACAAACTAGAGGTCAAATTCCGCATATTTTATATTATTCAAATCCGCAAGATTCCGATGGCCAACACACGAATAAAGCTATGGCAGAAGTACAAGCAAGAAAATGTACCCTCGCTATGACCGCAACAATTATTCAACGGTCAAATGAAATTTTTTCTCTGGCAAGAGAAAGAGCAGAGGAAGTAACAGCTAATGAAGTTCTTGGTAACGCGACTTTTGTAACGACTCTCTTGCCACTAGTAATGGCACATATTAGTCCCTTGGCTACATCAGATCCTAGAGTAAGTGACTTTTTTCTATATAAACGTTTTAAATGAATGAATGAATATATATCTATGTCTTAAAGACAAATATAATGAAAGAAATTTATAATTATTAATATAATTTTTTTCTATGTTTTTCAGAGCAGTGTGCAAATCCTTACCTTGATACAAGAAATGTTACCACACATCGCTGCTCTAAATTTAATGTCTACGATGGGAATATCTCAAATATCCCAAGATAGCGAAACTCAATCACACTTTGCTCCTCCAGTTACCACTAGTCATCATTATACTTGGCTAGAGAGTGAACATCCTTATAAACCAGCGACAGTGTCGTATTACAAAGTCACTTTTCCGGAAACAGTAAAATGGTTGACTGTCGAATTTACACCGGAATGTGGAACATCACAACCCGAGGACTATCTACAGCTTTATATACCAAATATAATCTTCAATTCCTCCGCTGGGTAAATAGAATATTTTCAAGTTTTTATTACGTATAAGCATATTGTATGCACATATTTTTTATATTTATGTTTAATTATTTTTACAGGACAGCTTTGAATATTATGAATGAAGATACTCCTCTGTATTGGCCAGTATTGCATAAGTTGAGCAATGTTCAAAGTCAATGGCCCCAAAATGCCATTGTATTACCAGGTATGTTTATTTCCAGCATTAACTAAAAGTATGTAACAGAGTATATAATTGTAATAAACTATTAATACATTATTCGGTATTGTGTTTAGGAAATGAAGTGGTATTTTCTTTGGAAACCGCATCTGATTATATGAAAATGAGAGCTCCATTACATACGGCTTCAAATGCTTAGTTATCGGTTATGATTGGATAACGTCTGGCCATGGTCTAAGGAATTTGGAAATTGAGTTGTCCTTTCTTGGAGGAGCATGTGCTGCAAGTCTTATGAAGAAAAATTTATTGTTACCTCCAGTGTCTTGTAAGTATAATAATATGGATGAATTTCTTTTTTATATTAATAAGTCAATATAAATATAAGTATCATGTTAGTATATAAAATATTATAATGCATGATATATAATTCTCTCATTTTATGTATCTTCATTTTTGAAAAAAAAAATGTCTCGGAAAAATATAATTTCTTATCCTATTTTAATTGTGTAAAAAATAATATAATTTTTAATAAAAAAAGCTAATCTACGGTAATTATAATTTTAGCGGAAGAAGTAGAAGAGGACTTGGAAACGATGCAGGAAACGGCAAAGAGGATTTTCTCTGTACATTCGGCTTTACTTGGACGAGGATTCGCACTTGCGTCACCCCCTACAGTTTCGCAGGCTCTCGACGGCGTGCTCCCGTACAGGTAAGTACCCAACATCAGTTTTAGTACTTAATAATTAAAAAAAGAAACTGTAATTTTCAAATATAATATATATTAATGTGAGAAGTTGTTTACTGATATTATTAATGTTATCTGTTATATTGCGCATAAAGAGAGAAAATTTCATATTTTTACTTACAATCATTAGAGTCATCAGTCTTTGGTATATACGGTTTCTTTTTTAATTTAAGAATATGTTGTGATGGAATGATATTTTATTTATTCGTCATGGCATTATAAGTTATCTTGAACAAGGCCATGGCAAATAGGTCACAAAACTGTATAAATATCTGATGCAGTATCTAATTTTGCACACACAGTGTCACATTGTGTGTTGAGTAATATATGCGCAAACATTTTAGAGATATTTACGCGTAATTTCTGGATTATAGTCAATTAGAATTTCAGTCGCAATTATATAATTACAATCGCGATTATATAACTACAATAATTTGATTTGCTATTAACTTGAAAATATGCGCATTCAGGAATGCGATAAAAATTAATTTTAATTAATAAAATATTTTAAATACGTAATACATACCAATTAAAGGAATATTAGCGCGTGTGGCTTCTTGGTTAGTCTTAATATGATTAGCCAATACATTATTGATATTCTCTTTATTATTATCTTTGATTGTTCAATGTGAAACAAATTATATAGTCGGCAGCTGTCGTTATATATCACAGTATCGCGATAATTATAACCATATATATATATAACATTACAAACTGATTCTGTTTACCACAATGGTATAATTGCGCACGTGTACAACACATGTACATGCCTGCGCATGCAGTTTGCACATGTTGCAACGTATTAGACTTCGATCTTTCGATACGCGGGTGCTAATAAGACCTACCTTGGCAGTAATTCAAGATATCGAGTAAGGTAAGAGGCACAAAAAGTTTTCCGAGAATCTTTTATGCGTTCGGAAAGAGCGCGCAAAGAATAATGTTGCTTATCTTCATCTTCTGTTTATTAATAAATCAACTCTGTCGTACGATATATTACAGTTTCTCTCATAAGCTTTATTTTACGTCTTTTTTTTGCAATTGGCGAGATGTCTTTTTATGATTATCAAAATATTAGTTCAATGTGTCCGCGATATACACATCTTCTTTTAATTGAAGAGGGAAAAGGGATAAAAGGTTTATTTTTATTTTCATCATTATGATCTAGAAATACGTTCGCTCATAATCAGGTCCTTAAAAAATCTTTTTGTCGTGTGTAGATTAAATGTGTCGAAAAATAATCAGCGGGATGTACAATACATTCTAAATAAGTTTTTGATTTTTACAAAATAGCTTGTTTCGCTGAAATTTTCCATCGTTTTACATTATTAACATACGGCAAACAATTTTAATGCGTTGATTACAGAGAAACGTACTTAAGATTAAATGTAAATTATAATAACAGTAACAACAATTTTTATTGCCAAGTTATAGCAAAGTTTTATAGCAAATGTTTGCTAAAAATAAATTACATATTGACATTGATAAAACAACATGATAACGAGATGACAAAAGAATTTACAGTACGACGCGGATAATAATTAACTCATTCTAGTTTACCGTCCGGTTAATTTTGCTTTTCTGGAAAGTATGTACGAAACAATGACGGATATACATTTTCGGACACTTGCACTAATATTCCTTGAAGATATTTCCAACAAAAATTTGATTTAAAAATATATAACAAGTATTTCTCATTAACAAAGTGGTAAAAACCATGTTTCAAAAAATACAAGTTTTACTTTAACATAAGTCTATTACTTATAAATAATTAACATATAATTTTTTAAGTTGAGAAAAAATATACATTAATTATAGTTTATAAAGTGACATAAGTCAACTTGTAAATCCGCCACTGATATAAGATATGGGACATTTTTTTATCTTGGTAAGTTGATCCTGCCGATTTATTTTGTGCATTAATTTATTACATTACTGTCAATCTTTTCTATAAAAACGATAGATTTCGGAACGATTTTGATATGAAAACTTAGCGAAAAGTTGCCTTTCGTTCACTTTCTTCCTTCTTCGAGAGATCAGTTTTTCTATGGAGTGGACACGAATCGTGTGCAATGTCACTCCAGGAATGGCACAGCTGTCCGAACAAGCGGTTATTCCATTTTTTTGGTCCTTTGGTACCGTCATTTTCACTTCAACGCGCTCACTAATACGTAATTTTTACGATAACCGAGCTATTATTATCGATCGATAAACTTAAAACAACAAGAAATGCGAAAGATCCGTCTAATCGCGTATCTTACGCAAGACAGCGAGTTTAGGATTTTCTCTACACGCGAGTTATACTCTTTTTCTGCTTTCTAAATCGCGTATTGCTTCGTCTTCTATGACACTGGCCCTCTTTTTTTTCTCTCTTACGCTCTCTCTTTCTATCTCTCTCACGCGAATGTTATTTAATGATAAACTTAACTAGCAGCGGTGACCGATCACCCGAATCCGCGTGACTCGTTTCGAAAAATTTTTTAATCGCCGCGGAGGAACGTGACCGCCTTCGAGAGAGAAAGGACGGTTCGAGGAATGAAAAGAACGCGTGATCGGATAATCGGCGGCCGCTCGTGATATGTAAATGGAAGCTTACGAACTGTATTGTACTAGAGGAGAGATAATCGATTCAATTAAAAACAAAAAAAAAACAAGAACAAGACGTGGGAGAAGGGAAGGGAGATGATTCGGAACTGCGTATTCGCTTTGCGTTCTATTATTCCCCAAGCAGCAACGATTTACACAGTCTATATATTCGAGTCCGAGGAGAATTTCCCTCTGGTCGGGAAAGAGGGTCCTTTTCTATTCGCAACACCGATCTAACTTTTTATTATTTTCTCGAAATGTCACTTTTGTTGAACTGTCACTCGCTGTGGCGCCGATCGCGCGCAGCGTCTCTCATAGCTTGTACACTCGAAAGCGGCTCGACGTTTCCACCCACTCGAGTTCCTCTTCAACGGGAGCGACGATCGCGGGCCTGGCCGTCGAGCCGCCCGGGGCGTCTCGTTACAACTCGGTCGTAAGAGGTTCGGCCTTCTCGACGATTACGTGGAACTCGGTTTCGCGATACAGCCTGCCATCCGGTACGACCATGGTTATCCTGCTGTCAACCGGGGTGCCGGAAGTTGCGGCTTCTCGGCCGATCACCCCATTTTTTTTGGAGACCACGTCGGGCGCGTTAGTGGGTACGCTGATCCATTTCTTCCTGTTGTTCCGTCGGCGCCTTCGGCAGCACCAGACGATGAGGCACACGCTCACCAACAGAGCGAGAACGACGCCTACGATGATCAGAATGAGAATGAGCATGGAACCACCGAGCGAACAATGACGCGTCTCGTAGTCGACGAAGCTTGTAGGTACCCCATCCAGTCCGCCGTCCAGACATAGGAAGGTTTCCGGGGTCTCGTTGATGGGTTCTTGGGGCTGCGACTGTGGGGGCGGCATGAGCGAATTTTGTCTCACGTAGAATCGCGAGTACACATTCGTGTAATTGAGCACGTTGTTCTTCCACACGGGTAACATCTGGCAGTCACAGGCCTGCGCGATAAGTAGATTGTCGATCTCCGGCCGGAAACTCGCGCGATCGAACACGAGCGAACCCTCCTCGAAGCTGCTCACGCTGTTGTTCTTGAAGATGAGACCGTGGACCAGCGACGACGATGACGATGACGACGACGACGACGATGATGATGATGACGATGACGATGACGACGACGACGAGGACGATGACGCTGACGCTGACGATGGCGGTGACGATCTGATCTCGCGATCCGCGCGAATACCCAGGAAAGCGCCCACGCCGATGCTGCCGAAGGTGTTGTTTTTGATGATGACGGCGCCACGCGCCGTCACGTCAAACGCCTCGCTCTCCAAGTTTTCGATCGCGCAGTTCTGTATCGCCACGGTGCGCGGACTCTTCAGGATGAAGGCGTTGCTCCTGACGACGCCGATTCTCACGCCGTCCAGCATAAACTTGTGGTAGACCTCGATGTCGTTCATGGTTCGGCTCGGCAACTGATCGCCGAAACTGCTGCCGATCACGTGCAGATGACCGACGTCGAATTTCTTGAAAGCCTGCGCCTCCGTCGTTTCGACGCGGCAGTTCTCCAGTCGCAGGTTGTCCGTGTGAATCAGATTGGCGAACGAGAAGGCACTCAGCTGGCCGATCCGCACGTTCTCGAACGTGATCGCCTCGACGTCGCCGCGAAACACGAAGCTCGGCAGCACGTCGATGCTGCTGTTCCGCACGGTGATCCGCGTGCGCGTGCTGTGCGATGACAGCTCGAAGCTCTGCTTGACCAAGGTCAGATTCGCCACATTAATCAGATCCACCGACCGTAGCCCGACCATCGAGGCCAGGCTCGAGTTCGCGAGTATCACGGACGAGCAATTGCTCACGAGTATCCTGCTGGTATGGGGGCTCAGCCGTCTGTCGCCCTCCGTGGTCAGGATCAATTCCTGCAAGTTGAAACGACCCTTTATTTCGATATCGCTTCATCTTTTATATTTATAGCTCTACATTTTCTTATTTTTATACTTTTATGCTTATCTATATAATTTAAGAGGAAAATAGTAATTATCTTTAAATTCATTCTATGAATATATATGATACATTATATTATATTATGTGTATATAAGCGCGATCGATTATTTATATATCGAGACTATCTCAGATCATTTTTACCTAAAAATACAGACAAGAGTTCCTAAAATACTTGAAAAATCAGGGCTTTTCAGTCGGGATAATGAGATTTTCTCACCGGTGGATTAATTTCCGATATATCTCCCTCAAGGAGGAAGAATCATAGTAATTTAGTGCAACGCAATGTACCGACAGAGGGAAAGCCCTAATAGAGGTCGAATAGCCGTAATTGCAGGTCTAACTATCCTAATTATTCGCGATGTGCGCGCACAGTTTCGCTAATTACCGCGAATAATGTCGTTATCATAATCATGAGAGAAGGGCCGACAGCTTAATTTCACGACATATCGTATAGTCCTCATTTCTCTGTCTCTTGTTCACGTAATCGTCCTTTCCTTTAATCAAGTCTCTTTTACCTATCGATCGTTTTACGCGAATTTAACATCGAGGCGATCAGTATCGTCGGATTTTCCGCTCCGGCGCGTGTCGACACGCGTTTACCTTTGCATACAAATTAGATAATTGCGCGGATTATCCGCGTCGCTCCGCGCATATATTGTATATACGAACTCGTCACATCTTGCGCATCGTAAACGATATCGAAACACTTTTCGAACAGGAAGAAGGGATCTTTCCGTCCTGCATCCTTGCGCGGCGGATATAAAATCCTGGGAGAAAAGCGAGACGCGGATGACGTTTGCGAAACCCGAAACGCATCGAGCCACTATATTATATCGGTTACGTTGTACCGTGAAAATATATTTATTCGAGTTTGCCTCATTTATTCCGTGATCGCTCTACAACTTTCATTCCGACGTCGGAATGTCGCCCGCGATAAAGCTCGACATCTGGCGTATATGTGTATGTATATGTATGTATATATAATATATGTACACATATATCGAACGAGTCGCGAGAAACCCGCATCGCTTTGATTGCTACAAAGAGGCCGAGATGTGCGTCGCTCCAGGCCAAGTATATGCTGCTCTCATTAATTATGACTCTTCCGTCTAATCGATTCCCTTTAAGCGTTTAAATTCCAAGATACGTAGATAGTAGATACGTACATGTTAATTTCTTAAGAACCATTTTAATATTAATATTAATCGTCATTATTATATCTTTGAAGTAGTTTTATTATGTCATATTAAATAAATTTTTACTAAATGTAGCCGCTCTCTCTTTTCCATTAAGAAAAATGAAGAACTAAAACTGGATGCACAATCTCTCTTTCTCTTTCTCTATGTAGTCGGATCGCGATGAAACAACGCGGAAAGATATGCGAGACAGAGTGTCTGTTGAATGGTAAAAATAGAGAATAGAAAATAAAAAGGCGCGATGCAGAGCGATGAAAAAGAGGAGAAGGGTCTTTATATTATTCTTTTTCAGACTCTGTCGTTCTTACGCATTAACGTCTTTTGCTCCATTCGTCGTGTCCCTTCCTGCTTCTGTTCGAACTTCCTCTTTTGTTCCGGATCCCATTGTTCACGGCTACTTTTGGACGCACGATGTCGAGCCGAGATTATTAACCGACATATTACTTGCCTATCCGAAACGAAAATCTACCTTTATCGCTCGCACGTTTCTGAAAAATTTATTGGCGTTGCCCGGAGATTTATTTGGAAAGTACCGAAGCTCTCAAGTTTTATGTTTCTTCGTGGAACAATATTGTTCGGAAAAATGTATCGACTTTTTTTCAAGTCTCGTATGGGAGACAAAGGAAAAATTATTAGCCTCGAAGAAAAAAAATTTAGCAAAATGTTCCCGGAAATTTAGTACGGAAAAATTCGACATTGCATTTTCCGAGACGTTTGCGTCGAGAAAAATGTAATTGGTTCCTCGTGATAGCTTATCCATCGTAAATGCGTTCGACGTGCATCACATAAAATTCATATAAGTAGGTAGGTAGGTAGGTTGCGGACGGAAATCGAATCGAATCGTAACTCTGCATGATTTCGATGGACACCTGAATTTTCTTTCGCGAAATTTCTTTCACGAAAATTCTACGCGTCTCTAAGAAACGTGAGGGAAGCTACGAGAACCGGAAAGTGGAAGAGATGTTTGTTTTTTTCCTCGAGCGACCTTCAAACAACGCACCTCCATTCCGCTTTTGCTCTTTCTGTCTCTCTCGCCTGCAATTTTTCTCTACAGATGTGGACTTTCTTCCTCTTGTACGCTCTTGGAACATTTTCACGCGTCACGTCTAACTCCGTGTTCTTTTTCGTGCGCCCGTCGATTACCAGGGAAACGATTCCCGTTGGGAATTAAACTCGAGGACGCGCGTTAGTTCGCCTCTCGAACTAGTTTCTCCGGGCTTTTTTGCCCGCAGTTGTTCACCGTGTGACATTTTCCTCGCTGCAAATTTGCGGGGTAATCTGCGTGATTTCGTCGAGCGATAATTCTAGAGAGAGATTGCGATGAATGATATAAACGTCAATTATGGCAGTAATCGAATGTGCCTTACGTTCTTAATTGAACGGGAAAAGGTGCGCGAGGCGAAACTCGAGCCGTCGTTAGATGGACATTTTCCCGGATGAAAATGAAAATGAGATTGGACGGGATTAAGTTTATCGGGAAAACACGCGATTATGTCGGATCTTGTCGCGCGAGAAAAAGAAAGAGAGAGAGAGAGAGAGAGAAAATGACAGAAAGAGACAGATGAAGGAAACTCTCGACCCCAAGACCGGAAGCGAGGCAGTGAACGGAAAGTGGCATAGTGCCATGGAAATGGAAACGAAAGCTCTTTTACGATCTATAAAGAATTTATGTGTAACAATTTTACCCGTAGCAGTACCAATTTCTTTCGCAAAAGTCCTCGGCGTTTCGAAAATCCTTCGAAAATTCTTTATTTCGCGTATTTTTATCCGCGCTTAATAATAGAAAAAAAAAAATGATTTCTTCGATGAATTTGACATTCGACGTCGATCAATCGCGACAGATTCTGCTAATCTATCGATGATGGGCGATTATTAGCGTTTTAATTAACACTTCGCGCGAGGGCAAACGATTCGATTTATCGACAGAAATATTTAATGAAGTATCTTTACACAACCGCACTGGATCAATTTCCTCTCCACATGATTGTGGCTTATTACTATCGGTTTATTATTATTAGCGAAGCCATATTGCTTGCCATATTCGGGAGAGCGATTGCTGCCGTTTACTTAACCGTGCTTTTTTCTCCGCGCCAATTTTCCTCGCACGAGCGCACACATGGAGACTTTCGTATAGCGGCGTTTTTCCATTTTCCGAGTATTTTCATAACCGCGCGCGCCTCTTTCCCGTAAGTGGCATCCTAACGTTTCCAACAGTACTTCTTACGGCCGTTACTTTTACACCCCTGACCGAGGGTGGCCGCTCTCTCTTCTCTTCGTCGTTTCGTGTCTTATTCCATCGTCTCGCTTATTACGGCCAACCGAGTGAGTTTAAAGTCGCGTTCACTAAAAGGCTCTTTCAATTATTTACGCTCGTCTTCAATTATTCAGTTTGCGACCAAAGACTTTGGTGCCCCCTCTTTCTCTTCTCTATCGTTCTGCCCTTCCTCTGCCCTTTGTGTAGGCGGCCGTTTTATTGGTGGTCCCTCGTGATAAAGTGTTTAAATCCGCAACAACACATCAATTAATCATAATAATAATAATAAGCTGAGTTTATGAAATTTATGCATCTCTATTTCCCGTCTTTATCTATTAAGGCCTATATATTTAGGGAAATCATATTCTCCGTGTAAATATTTTCGTGAAAACTATATTAATCGTTCTTTACGATGCAAAACATTTATCTTCCATTGAATAATAAAATTATATAAAATCTTTACAAACTTTTAGAAACACGTGTTTCAACTGAACAAAAATACGTTTTATAAAATATCAAGTTTCTCTTATAAAAATATCAAGTTACTCTTTATTATTCAGTGAAAGATAAATGTTTTGCATCGTGAAGAAATAACGAGACAAAAAAAAAAAAAAAATAAGATTGATAAATTTTGATTATATTAAAATATGCGCATTAATTAACGTTAAGATATTTCTTAACGTCGAACCTCGGTTTTTATCGTACTTCCTCTCGTATACTCTCGCGTTTTGCTATAATTACGAGTTCATTTTACACACGTGACATATCATCGATGATGAACGGGCAGCGCGTTCTCGACCAATTAGCCGGGCAACAGAAATTCAATCTCGTTTCGAGCGATTTATATCCCTTATCCATTAGTGCGCCACTTCTTTCCTATAATCCGCGTTATATCTATCGCTCGACGATAAAGTCCGCGCATGCCTTCGCTTTTTTTTTCCTCGGAGTATACAAGGTCGTGAAAACTTCCACGCGTATATCAGCGACATATCCACATACATATGTACACGTAATAGATGCTACAACTTCTCGCGATGACGTAAACCTGACTCGTTCGTTCTCCGCGCTCCTCCACTTCCGGTCGTTTCGTCACGCGCGCCAATTTTACGGATCGAGTTTACCAAGTATTGTCAGACGCACAAAAAGAATCCGCTTTATCGCGGACAATAATGACTCTCGTTCGCTCTCGCGCCCGGTAACATTATCTTCCTTCTCGCGTTTGGGATTCGCAATTAAAACGCGACGTCGGTTGTGTCGCGAAATATTTGCCCGCGCTTTGGGGGCGACGTTCCCGATTAAATTTCCGCGTATAACTCTCTCTCTCTCTCTCTCCACCTCCTACCCTCGCGAATACGAGACTCGTTTACGTTATCCCTCGGTATGTACAGTTCCACCGGTGTCGGAATTATTCCCGCGTGTGAAATTGATAAAATCTCAGGAATTTTAAATCAAATAACGCGAGAGAGGGACTTTAATTGTAGTAACAGGGCTGATTGTTTTATCTCGTCCTGTAATCGTCGAGCGCGATATATAATTCACGCAGGCGGTTCCCTTTCCCTTTTCTCTCCAAATCGCATTCATTACTTTCCTTATCGCGAGCGTCGAGCGCGCTGCGTTGCACTCTTTATCGCGACGGGAAAAGACGGAAGTCGGAAACTTTCGCCAAGTCGAATTTCAAACTCTCATCATCGCGCGAGAGAGAAAGAAAAAAAAATTTCCAAATTTATTCAATAAATTCAGGCGATAGTAGTCGCGTTACCGCGTCGTAGACGTCCGCTATTCGATTCGATTTAACGAAAACCGACGACTTCCGGTTTTGGCGCGGCACGACTCCTCTCCACGTTTATCGCGATATCGTGTCGCGATTATGAATCATTCGTTACGGCCGCATGTAGACGCTCTTCGTCTACCCTTTAATATCGCGGATGGCCGGAAGCGGAAACGCGCTCGCGCCGCAAGAGAAACGAACGTTATAGCAGCGGCTAGCTCGCGTGATCGCGCGAGGAATCGCCGAGGGAACGTTCGCCCATTTTTCCCCATGTCGGGAAAAAGAAGGGGTGCGTGGCCGCCGGGGGATAAAAACGAAACATTTACGAGGGGATGGAGAATCGACGAATCTCCATCCTTTTTCGCGCACCTACATCTACCTTTCTCGTCCCTACCGATTTGCGTAAATACACTTTAATTTATAGGAGGGAAACTCCCATCCCTCCGTCGCGGTTGGCACCCTCGCGATTTACGAGAACCTCCCTCCGGGAGATTAGTCGGGAGATTAGAGGCTCGTCGTGATCTTTTTTTTTTCTCTCTGTCTTTTCCTTCGGCAACTTCGATGTTGTCCTCGCTCCGTTAGAATCTCAGCGCGATTATTACTTTATCTCGATCTTTGGTGCCGCCGAAACCTCCGGGCGATACCGAAGACGTCACATCGGGATCGCGAGGAAACATTTTCTCTCCCTTTTTCTCGGTGTCTATTTTTTTTTCTCCTCTCCCTCGATCGCGGGAGAGATCGGGTTTTATGATTTCGCCCTCGCACCAGGCTACCCGCGGGTACCCGCCTCTTTATCTCTCCGTCGGGTAATTCGCAAATGGAATAACGTCCCCCTGCGGGACAAAAGACTGCCAGACAGAGCTCCGTGTCGCATTGTCTGAGATTTTTCGTGCGATAGCGATAGCTAATCCCGCCGCGGTTTCCGCACGAATTCGTTGTTGAGAGAGCGCACACCCTTCCATCGTCATTCACCGGATCGTCCTAATCATTTGAAGTGGAAAGAAAGATCGGGGACGAAGATCGCGGAGAAAAGAACCGATTCTATGAGAATCTATGAGATTTTCGGTCAAAAATTTATTTTTTTTTCCTGTGCAAACAAGAAAAAATTAAGTAGACTAATATTATAATTAAAAAATCCATGTACGTGTAGAGCAAATAATTTTTGTAGAAAGTAATAATTACTTTTCCAGGGCGGAGCTTATTTTCTCTCTCTCTCTCTCCATCGTAATTATGAGTATGATAAATTTAAAACGTGCGCGCGAGGTCATCGTATGAATCCAGGGCTCGGGTTACATCTTTTCGAGTTAAATACGATAAGCTGTCTCGGGACATACGAGAAGAGAAAATATACTCTCTCTTGTCTCTCGCAGCCGAAAGATACGTGCCTAGATATCTACAGTTACAGATTTTTTTCTTCCTCGCTTATTCTCTTTCCCTGAACGTCCTCTCGCGGTCTCGAGGCTCGACAGAGATTCGATCGAAAATCGATCGCTAACGCGAATGCTTATCGGGGATATCGGGTTTGTGGCAAACCTACCTCTCCCTCCTCCTTGCAGTCGCAGGTCAAGCGGCCGTAGTGGTCGCAGGAACAGGGCGGGTAGTCGCACCTGCTGGTCGAGTTGGTCAGGACCCCCTTGAGTAAGCTGCTCCAAAACAGTCCTAAGATCGCGCTGCCTAACACATATCTCGTCGCTCCCATTTTGCGCCTCTCGCTCGCTCCCTCGCCCACGCTTCTCTCTCCTTCTGCCATACGCCTCAAAGGGTTTCCTCTTCTTCCTCGCTCTTTATCTTATAACCGACTGTTTTATGCCAAGCTGGCGCCAGGCAATAATTTCGCGTCGAGCCGACCGCGAGATCGTCTCGACATGTCTCCTTCCTGCTTTAAACGCCGCGTCGAGGATCGAACATCCGTCGAGGTTTCTCTTCTCAATTGAGACGTCGCGTTAACTCAGTGTCCGATTAAATCGCCGCCGCCTGCACCGACTAATCTCGCTTGCACCAGGGAAAGCTATCTCGGCCTTGTCGCGACACGTGACACACGCCATGCAATATTACGTGATTCTGCGCCGCGTCTCTTGCTGAATTCATGCTTCTCGACGACGACGACGACGACGACGAGACGACGTCCGACATGAGGTGTCCTCGGCTCGAAGCTCATTCGAATCGCCGATTCGTAGAATCGTCCTCTACTACGACATTCGTCCCGACGCTTCTTCGTTTCTTCGACGGCGCGATCCAATTTTGTCGGTGACAGCGCGCAACGTTCTCCAACATCGCGCCAGGAATTCTTCCTCTCCTCGATCTTAGTTTCCTTCGGAAACGATCGTCCGTCTGTAAGGATAGAGACATTAGGAAATCTCGCGGTTTTCTCACGTAATTCTATCTCAAATCTCTTTCTCCTCCCTCTCAAACTTCCCGAATATATCGGCAATTGTGTTTTCGAGCTACATTCAATAATCATTTTTATGCTAAATTACAATTTCTATAATTTTATTTAATTAATAATTTGTTAGAAAATAATGTTCTTTTTCTCTTTCGGTTAAATTTATCTCGAATCTTTTCACTGAACGCGGAAACACCGCGGAAATTATGTTCACGATTTATCCGAGAAGATATGACATGTCGCTCGATGATATCGCGAACAGTGACGTTTTTCTTTACTTCTTTCAAGGTGATAAGTGCTAGGTTGCGTTATCACGCTCGCTCGTACAGAAACGACAAACTGTTGAAAGTGTCACATGATATATTCCTGCACTAAATGACAGCGTCGCAATATCCGATGATGATAATCCGCGATCTGCCATTCAGCCTACTCTCCCACTGTGTATCGTTGCGTGACTAATCGCGCCTACATTCTTGCGTTATCAAAATGCTCGCTCGATATGACGCGGTACTGTTTATCGTACAAATATGTCAACTGCCGTTACTGTAAACCTTCCATGCTGGTTCCGCGAACACGATTCTCGGTTATTCACGATCGTTTCGCAACGTAACGAGAAGTAGTCTTATTTGCTGATTCTTTAATTCCAAACTCTTGACGAGCTTAAAGAAGCAAATTTAAATTTATGTGTTTAAGGAAAAGTAACACGTAAGTGACAAAAAATTTAAAATTGACGTTATTTTTTGAGATAGAGATAAATCCAGAGATAATTGAGATGAGATAAATTGGAAGAAAATATAATTTAAATTTAAAAAATTTTAAAATACATTTGAAAAACTTATTCTTAAATAAGAAACGACAAGTCAGTATACAGGTCAAAAACTTTCTGTATTTTAGAATGTATTATCAAGTTTAAAATTTACAGTCAAATATTAATGTTTGCCTAATTTAATCCTTGCACTATGATGATGACAGGATACAATATTATTTCATTTCAAAGTCCCGGATACAAAGCTAGATTTCCATCAGCAAATAGTGTTTGTAACTTAGGAAACTGCTGTCACAGAAATGATCAACGAAATGTATCTTTGATATATCTTCATTTTTCGGTGAGGGTAAAGTTTGGTCTATTCGGATAGTAACAAAAAAGTGAAATGGCACACGATAGAAAGCGGGCGGGATCGATCGACGTGAAAAGAGCGTCGTGAATGAAAGGCGGTATCACTCAAAGGATTTGAGAAGAATTTCCCTTTACGATCGGGTCTTTCCAACGACGAAATTTCTTCCGGTCTTCCGTTTTTCAGTCTCCTTCCCGGCTTTTCGCTCTACTTTTAGTACCAATAAAGAAATACCTCACTATTAACGCGTGGCGCTTTTACTAAGCTAATTGCTCGTGGGATTAATTAGAATAATTACGAGGAATTAAAGAATCTCAATTTGGTTAAAGTTACAATTTGGTTCCGAATTATTGACTTCAAAATATTTAACTGTTTGATTTTTATCTCTATTGAATTTCCATATGTTGTTCGATTAATTTTGAACAGTTGTAACCTAAATTTAATTATGTTAAAAAAATTCCAAGTAAGATAGTGCCGTTCTTTACATGTGAAAAATTATATATATATTTTCTTTCCATTTTTTATAAATATTTGTACATTGTATGTTATTTTGCCATGTTTTGAATTGATTCTCGCTTTACTTGTTATCGTCATTCGTCTTCAATAACATAGAGATAAATATCGCCCGAGAAAACTCGTATGTCGCTGCATATTGATATGTAAATCATTTTCAATTAACGTATAGTCGTTACTTCTCGACGCAACGATCGATGAAGATTAATTAATCGGTTTCGGGTCACACTGGACGTCGGTTTCGCTGCTGTTCCAACGAACGAGCGAAGCACGGTGGAGAAATGGGATGAAAAAGTGCGCGTTGAAAAAAATTGAGAGAGAGAGAACGAAAATGATAGTTCGATAACGGAATCGACGGACGAACAGAGGAGAAGAAGGCGAGAGGAACGTGAATGCGAATTATTCTCGAGCGATGGATCCGCGCGGTTGGACGATTGAACGTTTCGGTCCGTCTGATTTACACACCTCATTAATGGATATTCATGTATATTCCGAGTCCGAGACTCCAGACCGGACAATCGGAGGGAACGGTCCGCGTATTTATCGTTGCAGAAACAACTGCCCCGGAATGGATGAACAGCCCCCATCGGTCTCCCTCTCTCTTTATATCCCTCGTCTCTTCGACACGCGACACGGAACGATAAGTAAGGCGCGAGTTGGTGAGGAGTACGTGTAGGAGTAAATCGTTTCCGATTACATGACTCTTCCTCCACGTAATACCACGTCGATTCAACCGACGACACATATGTATGCACGATATATATATATGTATATAGGTGCATGTGTATGTGAAATCGTTCGACTTCTCGCGCCTCCGTTAGAATATTGTATGCGATTCCTCGCTGCTGCACGCAATTTGAGGAAAGATGGAGAGAAGAAGCGATCCTTCGCTCGAGCAGTTCACCCCAGCTGAATCAACCAACATCTCTCCACCCCGTTTCGATACATTTCGCCTTTATTCCTTTCGCCAACGTCTTATCTTCCCATCCGCTTTATCGCCGCGACTTGTAAGAATTGTCCGCACCCTCTCGGGAAAGCATTCGCAGTTTCCAGATAGCAATAACGATAAACGAGGTCGGCTTCAAGGGAGGAATGGCGGAGAAGAACACTGAACTCGGATGGAGGAGAATAATTTTTTTTACTCGTGGATCAAGGTCGGATTTCGGGGCTGCGAGTCGTGAGACAAGAGATAATCCGGTGATAATTTGGCAAATAATTGGGGAGAAGAAAGGGATTCTTTCTACATTCTCAATTATGTCGATAAATGTTGAAGAAATGCTGCTCGACTTTTCTAATTAAAGAGTATTTTTCGTATTAATAATATTATAAATTGTAGAATTAATATATCGTATAGTTTGCTAAACAGTTTAAAAGCTACAATAATAATCCGATAGCAGAATGTTTATCTGATTATAATGAGGAAATACTCGAATCGAATTTCATCGGTAGTTGCGACCCGTTCCAATCATTTGCGTATTAAAATGATGCGATTTGAATAAAGTCGACCATCATTAGAGGCGCGCATGACGTGCCTGACGAATTAATGTGGTATTATAAGGGGAAACGGGAGGGAATATACATAACTCGGTATGCGTAGCATCGATTATTGATAAACTCCTCTTCAGGTATCGCGTTTAGCTAATTCAACGAGAAACGTGCAAGTATATTTCGCATACGGTATACGACCGCAATTTTAGTCGCAATTTCGGCCTGCATTTTGAAGTTTTGTCGAAACTCCGAAATCACCGAACCCACTTCACCGCACTTTTATTCCGACGAGTAGCGATGTCTGTTTTTTCGGCGCGATTTTTCGACCGTAATCAAAAGTAGAATGGTTGCATCGGGAAGTGCATATATATACATACACACACATATATATATATATATATATATATGTTTTAAATAATTGTTTTACACAATTGTTATTCGCGCTGACAATTCGTTATATTCATCGGTACGTAATATAAATATTTGCATTTTGGCAATAACTAATTTCGAATATTCAGTTGATAGTAACTTTTGTTCAACGATGAATATGAATTATATATATATTTCTCTTAGCTAGTTATTCATGACCGATGATTAGTTATTCATGCATATCCAATTGCGTCGCGTCGTTTCGAATGCAGCTGCAGATCTCGCGGTTCGCGTCGACCAAACGTTTACGATGACGAGGCAGTCGAACGCGCCCAGGCTCGAACCCAGTCGGTTGACGCATGTGAAAAATTAAATCACGTACGTATGTCGAGCGATAGTGGTAACGATCCGATGACGATTCCGTTTCAATAGAACGGAGTTCGGAACAGAGGCGAAGTCTCTCTCTCTCTCTCTCTCTCTTGCGCGCGCGCGTCTGCTCATTTCCATGTTTGTTACGATAACGAATGGCGGGTCGGGTCTGCTTTTCGCTGGGCGAAATGAAAAATCGCAATATTGGTTTTGTCCGTTATCGATAGCACGTTTTTAATGCGACACACGACACTGCTATCGGCACCGAGTCGTTCGACGATAACCTACATTAGAGAGAACGTGCTCGACCGCCTTTTCTAAACGACACATTTTTCTTCGTGCCTTGTCCCTTCTCGTCCACGCCTTCTCCCTCTTTTCTCCCTCTGCCCTTCGCCCTCTTTCCACCGAATAATCCGTCGCGTAATGAAAAGACTTTACGCTCGTCAATCTGGAAGATAAATTCTTGTTCGATCTCGCGCTGTGTATAATAATAATAAACGGTATTTGAAGAATTGATTTATTAAAAAGTGCCGCTGAGAGAAAGAGCGAGCAATTTATCATATCGTAATCTTCCACATCGTCGTGTTATACCGAGAAAAGTTACCGTCTAACTTTTTGGATTAGAGATGTCACGGGTATCTCCGATGTTCGATTGGAAAATTGGATCCAAGTGTATAGTGCTATTGTTGGAAGTGTCAAGGAGGAGGTGATAGATTGTGCTCGATCAATTGCATAACTGTGGAAATCGGTAATTTTGTTCTTTCCTTTATTCGCGATACAAGCAACTTTCTTAGCGGTTCGATTCTTCCCTTCTTCGAAGATTGCGATATCTTTCGAGACGACTCTCGGTTCAATTCGGTGCACAAGTTCGCTGCGGCCCTGCAGTCCGTAACTCAAGTAACGTTATGCATGCAACACGCAGAGAGCAACGCCGGGCGGAATGTTTAGTCTCGCGGCATTGTTTTCAATTTCGAGATAACAGCAGGCGAGAAGGGCAACCCCGGGGCCGAGAGTACTTCAACATTGTTACATCACGAGCAGCCCTCAGAGAGATACGAGAGATACCAATTTCTTCTTTCCCAAATTCTCGCGATACGATACGTGAAATTAGTCCCGAAATAACGCGGAACGTGCGTCCACACGAAAATCGATCGAAGCACACTCGATCGTTTGTAAAAGCCTCGCCGATTGGGGGATCAATATTTTACTCGCGTGACTACGAATTTTTTTTTTTCGAGTAGATTTATTAAAAATGGAAAATATTTTTTCGCGTCCCAAAGTTCTACAAATTCTTCGCGTACATTCCGCGCGTATATTCGTCGTTCCGGGATTTTTCCGATAAGCGAAATCGGATGCGTTTTCGTCGACAAACGCGAGCATATCGCAATTGTTCGCGTGACGCGACAATTGAGTGTCTTCTACTGCGGCGGCGGCGGCGATTCTTTCCTCGAGGGCAGGGCAGAGTCACTGGCGAGAGAAACGAGCGATTAATCGACCCTACAACTGGCGCGGGATTGTAAAAGATAGTACGCCCGCACCACGCCACGTGGGAAATCAAGTATTACGGTCTCGCGATGATCCATCCGACCGAGCCTCTCTCGAGCGCGCGATCGCATGGAATAAACTCTCCTGCTGTCGCTAAGAAGGAACTTCTCTCCCGTCGTCTCCACGCGATCACGACGACGCTGGTGGTCTGGTCTGGTCTGATGGTCGACCTTACGGTTCAATGCCAGTGGACCGAACCGCGTTTTCTTTCACGATCTGTCAAACGAGCGCGTTGTATAGCTTCGACGGGCAGAAGCTGCGTATGTAATATTCGATATACGTGATGCAGCTGCCGTGTGATACGCCGATCGTTACGCAACGATTGAGAGGACGCGTTCACGTGCCACGCCGATTCTTCCGGAAGAAAAACGCACTC